GTTTTAGTGCGCTCCGTTCAGTTTTGTTTTCTGTTTTTTTTGGACAAAATAATTGTAAAATAYTGACCTCTGGTGGACGAGAGTAAAACTGCATCAGCGTTTGTCCCGCCCACAAATCTTTCAGTCTTTCTGATTGGTTAAAGCACGACATTTCATTGGTTGGCTTCATTTCTCTCAACCAATCAACGCTTTTCTTCACTGCAACGCAAAAGGTCAAAGTTGAAAGTAAGAACTTCATCTCGCTAGGCTTTTAGCTGGATATTATTGTCTGAAAACGGGAGAAACTTTATGAAATCTTGTTTTGAAACGGAATAAATCTTACGGACACCACACGGAGCGTCCTTCCCGCCCGGAAGATGTCGTGTCTGGGCGTTAAAACCGCCACTTACTCGGTGTTTTTTCACAAGGTTGGTTGCTAAGCTAACAGTTTCAGTGATTGTTTTACAGTAAACAGAGGTTTTGTTGATTTCATTTATACAATATGTTTTAAGCTTTGAAATTAATGCTACAAACACGGATTTATTTCTATATTTTTAAAATAAAGACTGAATAGTTTCTAAACAGATTGCCAGAACAAAATAGTCTATTTAGTTTAGTTTATTACAAATATTGCTTTTGAAATGGATGAAATTATTTTTATGTGAATTAAAATGGTGTGGATGTGAGTTAAACTGTTGGCTGACCAGAACAAACAGTTTCTTTGTAAATATTTKTAAAATGTTGTGTTTCAGCTCCACATCAGACCTCAGCACTTCTGTCTCTGTCCTCTGCAGCTGTGGACGCGTCGTCTTCACTGTGGGAACGTTCGCTCCACGTCTGTCGGACCAGAATCTGCYCCGCCTGCCTCAGAACGGAACCACAGGTCCCCTGACCCGGGACCCCCGCCTGCTCCCACCTACTGCTGCATGAGCGGCTGCCACAACTGCGTCTGGATCGAGCACGCCAAGCAGCTGCTGGCGTATTACCAGGACGGAGGGGAGAGCGCGCTCGCCGCCGTGGAGAAGAACGTTCTGGATGAGAACCTTAAAGCGTATCTAAAGCTGGAGATCAGGCTCCTGAAAAAGACGTGATGTTTCGCCGTCCGTGTTGCTGACCCAGCACTTTATCCAGACCTGGTTCACCTGCTGGACTGCCATGCTTTCACTCCTTCAGGGCTCCAGGAAACAGACACAGAACTCCCCTTTTAGGCCAAATTATCTCCCTTCAGGTTTTATTTATGTCAAATATTTAAAGTTTTTGCTGCTGTATTTCAGTATTTTAGCACAGAAGTCTGACAGAACAACGAGTTTAATTTTAGTTTTATGAGTTTGAAAACAGAAAAGTAGCTTCAACATGTCAGAAGTGCCTCCTCATCAATCTGAAGTCACATCTGAACAAAACAAAATGGATCTATATATCTACAAATATTAAATAGCACACAAAGCACAGTGTTGCATTTATTTGTTTTAGTTATTGGTTTTACATTTGAAACAAAATGATTATAAGTCAGTTTATTGACTCCACTGAGTGTTTTTAAATATTCTGTTTCAGATTATGTTTAAGAGTTATTTTTCTTTCTTTTTTATATGCAGAGAAAAGGCTTTTTTCACAGAACTGCAGCCTCATGAAAAAATCCTACAGTTTATAAAWCTCAAATGAAATATGACCTCAAATAATGTTTAAATAAGTGCAGGAGTTTTTTTGGCCACCAGAGGGCGCCATTTACAAATCAATTTCGAAGCTTTTTAAAAATGTAAATTAAAACTTGTGTTTCTTTATATCACAAACCTGAGCTTCACAGTGTTTTTTTCTTATAACATTTTGTAGATGCAGTATTTGTAAAGTTTCTATGGGTTTTGCTGAGTGAGAGAAGAATGAAGCAGACAGATCAGAACTGATGGATGCCTTTCATCCTAACGCTTGTTTATTCTGAACAAATCCTTTCATTTCAATTTTATTTGTTTTTTTTTTGTGTGTATATATGTTGTATATAGCCTTTGTTTTTAATGTGTATAAAAGTTTTGGTTTTAAATGAAATGAATAAATAATTTAAATAAAAAAATCTTCGATGTTCTGGTGTAAATGGGATTAGGATGACTGAAGGAGGCTCTTGTCAGAACTGACGTCTGTGTCGGTGAACGCAGCCCAGTCCGGTCCCTGTGACCCTGATCGTTCCCACTGAATCAGCGTTAGTCTGGTGTTAGCCGAGTCCGGTCCTGTTTACTCTGGGCTGCAGCCGTGATGCTCTGATGTGCAGCAGATTAGAAATGACGAGTCTGAACCCGATGACTGACGACAGACAGATTACTGCCGGTGTTGAGGCTCCACGTTCTGCGTCACGCTCATATTAGATGTTCTGACTAAAGCAGGGCAGTTCAACTAAATCACTGCAGAGGCCACAGTTACTGCAGGTCAACAGCTCGGGCCGAACATCCAGAAATTAAAGTCATTATTTAATTAAACCAAGTATTAAAAAGTTCTGTTACCTTTGAAATTGTTTATTTTGGTGCATTTAGTCATGAATACAACATACAGAACCTTATAAAAGTAGTGATGATTAAATTGGGCTTAAGAGATKAATTAACCAATAGGTGGGCCGAACTTTGGTCACTCACGGGGTTTATATGACCCGTGGGCCACCAGTTGAGCAGCCCTGGACTAAAATCTCCACATATCTGCAAACAAATCTACAATTTCAATGAAGCTGAGACGTTGTATAAAACAAAACAAAAAAAAATAAAATAAAAACAGAAAACGATGATTTGCAAATCCTTTTTGACCTAAATTCTACTGAATACACAAATAAAATTTTGATGCAGATAAACATGCGCAGACCTGGCTCTTGGCATAGGYGAACTAGGCGGTCGCCTAGAGCGCCATCTGCTGGAGGGGGCGCCGAACTGCAGAAGAAAAAAGTARTTATTTGTAATCCCTGGTTGTAACTCTGCTAAGCTCCCCTTTCAATTAGCTTTGTCTTAAAAATCGTAATGAAGTATTACAGGAAAACTAAACTACTCTACCCATAAAAACATCGCCCCCACCCGTTCTCTCATTTGATTGACGTTGCACTGACTCGTCCTGCTCCGACACTCTGACGGGGGAGGGGCTAGTAGTGCCTCTCAGGTAGCGGTTCGTGTTGACAAACTCAATAACAAGTCTGTATTTTGTTGTCCCATACATGTGAACCTCTTCGGATGTTTACCTGGATAAAAAGCCTCAAAAATCCGTAAATTTTGCAAAAAAATAAAAATAAATCCATACATTTCGCACCTGTGGGGGGTGGGGTCAGCCTCACTGCAAAGCAGGAGGAAAGGAGAGCAGAAAAAGTTCAAAACTTATTTCTAGCAGCAGAACAGGTTGGAAGATGGCTGTTTATTAATGTTTTTTTAATCATCCTACAGGCTCTGACGTCTTAGATAAATTTGAAAATGAGGTTTTGAAAAAATCTGAGATTGCTCTATACGTCCGTATAC